GGATTTTGTAGCCCGCAGGGTTTGGGGACGGACTGGATGTGGGTGTGAGGGAAATAGAGGGCTCAGGAAACACTCTGAGGTGTTTGGCCTGAACCACTGGGCTAACACACCAAAAGAGAAATGGCTCTTATCTCTGGTCAAGGGTTACTAAGAATTTCTACTTCTATATTAGGGATTTTTGTAAGTTTGAGGTTGCTGTTATTTTAAACAACGAATATAGGTAATATTTATAAACAGAAAAAGTTTTAGAAAAAATAAAAATTCCCCAGAGATTCCACCTCTAGGATGTTCCCTGAATGGCCTCAGAAGTCAGTCTGTCTCTATACCCAAATTCATGTGTGAAAACCTCCTGTTTGAGGATGCCACTGTCCATGCCTGGCCTACCAGCATCCCTAGGCTGCGGCTGCTCAGGGCAGCCCAGTCTCAGTGCTGTGGTCTTTCCATACAATGCTGACCCACAGTCCTGGCCCACTCCCCCCCCTACCACATCATCTGGACTATGGAAGTTGCCTCCTCACTTGTCTTCCTACTCCTTCTACCCTCCACAGTCTGCTCTCCACACATAATCAGAGAGGGCCTGTGAACCCTTCAGTCAGACCAGGGCTCTCCTAACTCAGAGTCTTCCCTTGGCTCCCACGCCCCTCTGCCATAGGAGTGGACACTCTTCAGTCTCTTGTACCCACTTATACCTCCCAGCTCAGAGTATTTGCACATGCTGTACCCTTCTTCTGGGGCACTCTTTTTCCTTCTCCAGTTAACTCTTCCTATTCAGGTCTCTGCTAAGGCAGCACCCCCTCTGAGAAGTCCTCATTAATGGGTCATGTCCTTTGGTATAGGATTTCCAGCTCTTTGTTCTCCTTCCGCATGGTCTTCACCTCACTAACCCTTCACATTTGTTCTTGTGAATATTTAGCTAAAATCTATCTCAGATTGGACAGAGCTAAACAGAAACCTTCTCAGAGTTGGTTCATAGCTATACCCCTGGTGTAACACAGATGCTCAATGAACAGTTACTAAATAAAATGAAAGATATTAAAAAGTTTTAAAAAAAAAAAAGGACCGTTCTCTGGGCACACTGACTAGAATTCTAGTCATGTAGACTGAGGTAAAATATGTAGCTATAGTTCACCTTTAGGACAGTATATTCCATCTTAAAACTAAGTTGTTCTTTGTTTTTATTTTTTAATATATTTTTATTGATTTTAGAGAGGAAGGGAGGAGGAGAAAGTGATAGAAACATCAATGATGAGAGAGAATCATTGATTAGTTGCTTCCTGCATGCCCCCCAATGGGGATCAAACCCACAACCTGGGCATGTGCCCTGACCCAGAATTGAACCATGACCTCCTGATTCATAGGTCAATGCTCAACCACTGAGCTACACTGGCTGGGCAAAGCTAAGTTTTCTCTTCTGAAAAATAAGGTTAATTATACCATCTTCCAAGTCTTATTTTATGGACTCAACTCTCATCCAACAATGATTCACGGAGCATCCTCTCTGTGCCATGCATTGTTCCAGGTGCTAAGGAAAAATGCACAGTATGTCACAGGATGATAAGAGCCATGGACAAAAATCAAATAAAGGAATAAAGGAGGTTTAAATTTTACACTGACGCCAATGAAGGCCTCACACTCAAAAGTTGACATTTAAGTAAAGACTGGAAGGAAAGAGTAAGCCATGTGAGCATAGAAAAAGAGCCATCAGGCTCAGGTTACATTCAATGTATAGCACCTTTGAAGGTAACCTCACCTGGGATGCTGAGATGCCTGAGGAATATGGCAGAGGGTCGGGGGTGGGTGTGAGGACAGAGAAGATGATATCAGCTGATGCATGCAGAGGTCCTTTGTGTTCCAGCTTCTCCCAACACATCTCATCGCTCACCCTGACCCACCTCACACTATAGGCCTCTGTACACTCTGCTTCCTCCAGCTGGCATCCCTTCCCACCTCTTCTCTTAAGTCATCCTTTCCTCATCCTTCAAGTCTCAGCTTAGGCATCTCTTCCTTCAGAAAGCCCCTTCTGATAATCCCAGATGGAGTCAAGCACCTCTTCTGGGTGTCCCCAGTCCCCTGGGCTTGCCCCAGCCCAAACCACTCTGGCTGTCACTGGTGAGGGTCTGTCTCTCTCCATACTGGACTACAGGCTTCATGGGGGCCTAACTTGGTAATCACACAGGACAAAGTATGGCAAGCATTTGTTAAATAAATAAATGAATGGGGCCCAGCCAGGGTGGCTCAGTGATTAGCCAACGACCCATTTGATTCCCAGGGCACAGGCCCGCTTGCAGGAGGGTTCATCGATGTTTCTCTCTCATTAATGTTTCTATCTTTCTATCCCTCCCCCTCCCCCTCTCTCTAAAATCAATACAAACATATTAAAAATAAATAAATGAATGGAGAGGAGGGATCCCAGGTAGGGAGGTCTCACATGGATGCGGCAGCCGTCATCTACGGGGTAGGAGCCCAGTAGCGCATCCTCCTGATCCAGCTTGCTGCAGAACTTCTCGTCAGCTCCATAAAGTTCCAGTTCCATGCAAGACGCAGGGCTGCCCACCACCAGCTCTAGTTTACACTGCGAGGAGTAGGGGATGTGGAGAGGTTGCAGAGGAGGAAGGCTGTCAGTGGCTCCACCCCCTACCCAGACTCCCCGCCCTTGTATCAATAACCATCACCCCTCCTTACTCCTCCAAGAGAGCCATCATGTTAGGACCCAAGTGGTTATCCCTGGCCCTGCCCCCTCTGCTCTTGTGCCCGCCCCTGAAACCTCCGATTTTCCCAGGCCCTGCCCCCTTCTCTGGCACCTCCGGTACCTTCTGGCCTCGCCCCACTGAGGCCCGGTCCCCAATCCTTGAAACCTCGGTTTATTTCTGGCCCCTCCCTGCGATGGGGAAGCCCATCCATTTCTCCCTTGCCCGTCCCCTCCGGACCCCGCCCCTCGGCCACACCTTGAATTCAGCTATCGTGAGGCTGCGACTGTACCGCTTCTCGGAGCGAAAGCTGTTGAGAGAGCTGCTGATGAAAACGGTCACAGTGGGCGCCGATAACCCCGTCACCTCCATCTTGCGCTCTGGGGATGGGGGTGTGTGTGGGGAGGGGGGAGTCTGTACTCCGTCAGCTACCTCACGCCGGCTCCGCCGCGGCCACTACGGGGATATCCACCTCTCCCTGCTCCCGACCTGGCCAATCGGCGCGCTCCTGCAGGAAGGTCCGCCAATCGCCGCTGTCTCCTCAGCTCCGGAAGCGCTCCCGTTTTCCTAGGTAGGTCCAGCCAATCCTGAGAGGCCGGACTGGGTGCAGTTCTTCCAATAGCAGCCCGGGAAACGGCCGGGCGGCGAAGGTGAAGCCGGGAGAAAAGACTGGCAGGCGTTCCCCCGCCCGGAGGGTAGCGCGCGCATGCGCACTGGCCTTCGGCTCCCCAAGAGCAATGGCTTCTAGAGGTATGCCAAGTGCTTTTCGCGTTACGTGACGCGTCATATTCCCGGCTCTCGTCCCATACTATTCTATAAACTGGGGAAGCGAGGCCCACAGGTCGGAAGCAATTAATTTAGGATATCAAAAGATTGAAGCAAGTAATTAATCAAATCTAAACGCAGAGAGCCGAGCACAAAACCGCTAGCAGCCAGTGCTTGTGTGCAGCTCCGCCCCTCTCGAGGCGAAGCCACTAAGCCTGACCCTTCCCGCGACCGGTCGTGAGGCGGAGCGCGCGAGCGCGGGAGGCTTGGCCGGTAGTGCTGCGCTATGGAACCCGACGGGACCTACGAGCCGGGTTTCGTGGGTATTCGATTCTGCCAGGAATGGTGAGACGGGGCAACAGGTGTGGAAGGGGAGCAAGTAATGGCCCCAGACTGACCTCTGGCCTCCCGTCCCCACAGTAACAACATGCTTTACCCCAAGGAGGACAAGGAGAACCGCATTTTGCTCTACGCGGTAAGCACGAGTCCGGGGGTGCCCCGGTCTTCCCACGGGTCCACCCGTCCCCATCGTGGCCCCGCCCTGCTCCACATGGCCGCTACTCCCTGTTCCGCCCGACTGTCCTGGTTTCTTCTATCCCAAAATGAACCCGACTTCCCGTCTTTCCCTATCTCGAGGTGATTCTCGATGCACCCCATTATCCCAACCTTGAGACTCCATCCCCTGGTCGTCCTCTCCGGGGAAGCCCCTGCCCTCCCTTTCAGTGGCCTCTTCCTGCCCCACTCGCCCTCCCGCAGTGCCGGAATTGTGACTACCAGCAGGAAGCCGACAACAGCTGCATCTACGTCAACAAAATCACGCACGAAGTGGAGTGAGTGCAGGACCGGACTTTAGGGACGGGGTTCTTGGAGCTCCTATCAGAGCATAATTATCCACCCTCTTCCCTTCTCTCTCAGCGAACTGACCCAGATCATCGCCGACGTGTCCCAGGACCCCACGTTGCCGCGAACCGAGGACCACCCGTGCCAAAAGTGAGCGCGCAGCTGTCTATTCCGGAGGGGGAGTGGCTCGTCCTCACCCGGCAGAAAGGGGAGGAAGAGGGAGGGAAGGGTTTGGTAACTGAGTGGCTAACTGTCCCCTCAGGTGCGGCCACAAGGAGGCGGTATTCTTCCAGTCGCACAGTGCCCGTGCGGAGGTGAGTGGCATGAAGAAGGCTTTCTGTCTATCCTGTGTCCTTGGTCCTTCCTGGGAGCGGGAATACCAATACTGAGGGGAGCTTGCCCTTCCTGGCGTCCTGAGCTGGGCCCTTACTAGTGGGAAAGGCTCTCTTGTCTGTTTTTTGGGGGTGAGGCTCTGCTGGATGGACGTTCCATGTTGTGCCCTCCCCTGGATCCAGAACATTCCTAACCTTGCATCCTTTTTGCCAGGACGCCATGCGCTTGTACTATGTGTGCACCGCCCCTCACTGCGGCCACCGCTGGACCGAGTGAACCACCCTCCCCCTCGTGGAATAAATGCTGTGTTCTGTGAGTGCCTATGCTGTGTTTATTTTATTTGCCTCTCATGGATTGGACACCGGGTGCACAGTCTCAAGCAGCGCGGTGCAGGGCCCAGTGCTGCGCGAAAGTGTTGGCCTCGAACTAGTGAAGCCACAGATCTTGCACACATGTAACTTCTCACGGAGCTCACGGTAAGCAGTAAGCGTAGCTGGCTGGCTGACCGACCGTGCACCTTGGCAAGATGCGTTTCAAGCTATCAGTGCTATGTAAATGCTTTCCCACAAACTCTGCAGTGGAATGGATGGATCCCTGGGCAGACAGGACAGACAGGGAAATGACCTCCTGACCAAAGCCAACCCACGTTGCCCCCTGAGTGTTTCCCCATTTGTTCTCCAAGTGCAGCTTCTACCCCACCATCTGCAGCCTCAGTACAAACTTAGGCCAGGCACCTGTGTCCTCCTCACCAGGATGTTCCCCTGGAGCCAGGAGGGCGGAGGGAGGCTTCCCTTTGCACCCTTCAATTTGGGACCTCAATCCTGTAACCAGTACCTGTCTTCACCCTACACCCCTCAGCAGGCCCCTACCCTGGTGCTACATTACACCCATCTGATTAAGTATGTGATGTTCCAAGCTGAGTCTCTCCTCCACAAACACAAACAAATGAAAACTCTATATCCAGGGCACCTCCCTCTATTTTGTTCCATCCCCATCCAGGATCCAGTAGCCCCTCTATGTCCTTGTTGCTGCTCACTGGTGTGAATCCTCATGTGGCACGTGAGGCGTTGTGAAAGCCCTTACCACAACAAATCACTATCCACTTGTTGGCTGGAATTCTGCCCCACAGGACAGAGATCCCTAAGGGCTGCCCACCCTGGGGAAATTGTGCTTGGGATGAAGCCTAACAGCTCACTACTAAGAAAGAAAAGGCATTCCCAGCAGAGAGAACAATGGGTGGAAAGGTCCTGAGGCTGGAAGGACATATGCAATGGGCTTGGGGAGTAAGGAGTAGTCAGCTTCTGTTGAGGCTGAGTGGGCAGGGGTGAGACTAAAACAGGAATTTTAGGGGAACATAGGCAGGTTTAGGAAATTTTTAGAATTGGGGTCCATGGAAAAAACATTGGGCTACAGATGGGGGAGAAGTTACATTTCCATAAGACAAGGAAGCCAGGTGCAGTTACATTTCCATAAGACAAGGGAACTGGAACTAGCCAAAAGTCTATAAAGAAGAAGGAAGAACGCCTAGGAGACAATGAGGGAGGAGGGCCTCAGAAGTCACTATAGCAGGGGTCCTCAAACTTTAAACGGGGGGCCAGTTCACTGTCCCTCAGACCATTGGAGGGCCGGACTATAGTTTAAAAAAAAACTATGAACAAATTCCTATGCACACTGCACATATCTTATTTTGAAGTAAAAAAACAAAACAGGAACAAATACAATATTTGTATTTGCATGTGGCCCGAGGGCCATAGTTTGAGGACCCCTGCACTATAGTAACCAATTTGAAAGGGAATATTGACCAATCAGAGGGGATATCAGGACACAGGAACTGCAGCCTTTATAAACCATGGAAACAGGAAGTCGGTGGGACCCTTTCCCCCTCCCCACGTGGGAGTCCATTCTGTGGGACCCTTTCCCCCTCCCCACATGGGAGTCCATTCTGTGGGACTCTTTCCCTCTCCCCACGTGGGAGTCTGTACTTGTTCATCAATAAATCTCCACCTTTGCTATACTACCCACTGTCTGTGGATTCATTCTTCAACTCCGGCGGACAAAGAATCTGAATTCCAGTCCAAAAATTCCGTTTCAAAACTGAGCAGGGTCTTGTGGGCCACCTGCAGACTCACTGCTGCCCAAGACTCCCCAAGGTTGGAAGATTGGTGTGCTGGTGGCCCCTTCAGGCTGCTGCAGTCTGGGAAGAGCAGCCAGACGGTGATGTTTTGTGTCTTCACTGCCCCTCACCTCCAGGCTTAGTAAGGGGCCCACCTGGGACATAGGCATCTCCCCAGAGTTGGTCAGGCAGGTAGTCCCAATTAGGTGTTTGCAGACGCCTACTCCTGACCAGGAAGACATGGGGCATCACCTCCAGGAATGGTAAGATGGTTACACACACACACACTGGGGCTGCCTCTTTCACCTGCTGTCAGACCTCACCAGCATGATTATCCCAGGTGGAAAGGGAGGGGGCAGCCATGAAAGAGCTTCATTCTCTCAATGCAAATTTCATGACAGGCCGAGGGAGCAGACTTCCAGTTACCTCTGTCTTGGGGCCTACCATTCCTTCCCTTCTATGACAGATTCCTAAAGGTACTCTCCAGCCTCCAGGGACAGACAAGCTCTAGGACCCCCAAGTAGGTCAAGCAAGGGCAAAACTGTAGCCTAGGAAGCTCTTGGGGATGGGGAGAGGAAACAGAGACCCAGGGGTTTTGAGTGTCTTCCCATAGTACCAACAGGGCCGAAGACCTAAGGGTCTGTTTGCCAGGCAACATCCTACTTATTCAAATCACAGTAGCTGTCTGAGGAAGCAGGGGAGGGGTGACTGATTACTTGCTCCAGAGGATAGAGGGACAGCAGGATCTAATAAGTAAGGACAGAGGGAGGTTCCAGGCTGTGCATTTTCAAGCAGGAGCTCCACCTTTTTGATCCTCAGATGCCTAGAACTGATGTTCAACCAGAAGCACACTGTTAAGGTGTAGCAGACATTAAAATACTGGTTAATATCCAGCTCCTAGGGACTGCCTGGGACAGCTCTCCTTCAGTCTCCGCACATTTCAAAACCATTGCCAAGGACCTTACCTCAGCACTCTGGCTAAGCTGTATTCTAGATTGGTCATTGGACTCTTAACCAGGGGTTAAGGATTTTGAACATTCCTCATGCCATTGGTACTCACCCAACAATTTATGAACTCCAATTACAGACTATGTCTAACTCAGCACTGAAAACAAACACATAGCTTAGTCCTTGAGGGAGACACACCAGTGACTGACTGCCCAGAATGACATGATGGGCGAAGCAGAGGCAGAGTGATCTAAACTGTGATGGGGAGAATCAGGAGGGGGCCACTCCTGATCCAGCCTAAGGGTTGAGGAATAACTTCCTGGGTATGAGCCCTGAGGGAATGAGGATTGGGATGAAAGGGGAGAGTGTTCCAGACAGATGGAACAGTCTATATAAAGGCTTGGTGGTGAAAGAAGCAACATTTATTCACACTCCTTATAGTCAGTCCTGCTGATTCATTTGGGGAAGCAAGTGAGGCAGTGCTGAGTCTGCTAGCCCAGAGCTTTGCCAATGTGCCTCTGCAGGATCTTGGACTAGTAAGTCTCTCTCTACCGCTGGTTTGTGTTAAAGATCCATGCAGAGCATGTGGGGAGAATGCTGGCCATGGGATCTGGCATGTGGCAGACATATAAACAGAAGGGTTATTAGGAAGTCTTGAGGGTGGGTAGCTAGGCAAGCATCTGAGTTTCAATTGAGCTGCCTGTATGTGGAGAGCGGCTACAGTGTTTGGACAGGTTCAAGCCTCAGACTAATGAGAGGGCACGGTCCTCTCATGGCAAAGCCACATGCAAGTCCTAGTTTGGAGGGCAAAGCCCTCCCAGCACAATTATAGCCAAAGGCTATAGTTGTAAGCTTGACTTTATGGTCCGAACCTGTGGTCCCATGTGGCTAAGTGATATAGGCTGCAGGAGGTACAACTAGTAAACAAAGCTTGATCAGGTGCATGTAATCGAGTACATTTGAAACCCGTGAGAACGTTGTAAACATCTTGACCACGCCCTTACTTTGCCTCGTGGAATCTGGCTATAAAATAAAGAGACTTGGCTTTGCAGGCTGTGTGCTGTCTCTCCATCAGAGAAGCAGTGTCCCACCTAGCCCCAGCTTTATTCTTTTGTCTGTCTTCTCTATCCTTCACCGCCCCCTCGCAGGTTCACCCATGGCTGTGCCGATGTGGCACACCTGTTCAATGGGTTGTGGTTGTTTTTTAAATATTTTTTAAAAATATATTTTATTGATTTTTTACAGAGAGGAAGGGAGAAGGATAGAGTTAGAAACATCGATGAGAGAGAAACATCAATCAGCTGCCTCCTACATACCCCCTACTGGGGATGTGCCTACAACCAAGGTACATGCCCTTGACCAGAATCGAACCTGGGACCCTTCAGTCCACAGACCGACGCTCCATCCACTGAGCCAAACTGGTCAGGGCTCAATGGGTTTTTAAAAATTGTTGACACTATTAAAGATTTCCCCCATCTTCCCACTCTTTGCCCATCTCTACCCAGTCCCTGCCTCCCCCAACATCACCCCCTGGCCATCACCACACTGTTGTCTCTGTCCATGGGCTATGCATATATGTACTTTGGCTAATCTCTTCACCTTCTTTTATCCAGTCTCTCCCCACACACACTCTCCCTTTTGAGATCTGTCAGTCGTGTCTCTGGTTCTATTTTGTTCATTAGATTCCACATATGAGATCATGTGGTATATTTTTTTCTGACTGGTTTATTTCATTTAGCATAATAATCTCTAGGTCCATCCATGCTGTTGCAAAGGGTAAGAGTTCCTTCTTTTTTTACAGCTGAATAGTATTCCATTAGGGGTTTTAAGTGTTGCCATCTTACAATTGTTGGATTTCATGCAGCCATGACTAGTATGCCTGGCTCAGGCCTGGCAGCCCAGTATCTAGGAGCTGTCAATGTGGTGTGCAGGGGCCAGGTTGCACTAAAGAATGAGCTGATGAGTGGGAAGCCATTCTGTTTCTGCTTGGGTGCCCAGTTCTCCATGCACATGTCTCTTGAAGCAATTGATTCCTGTGTTGCTGAAAAGACATTAGGGAAGAAATCTGGGGTTGGGTGTCTATTTGTCCTCAGGCTCCCTTTCTGCTCTGCTGTGTCGTAGGTGCCTGACCTGGGTGGGCAGCATCATCTGGGCTCCTTTCCCTCTGGCTTCCAGTAGGGTATGGACAATGGGGAGCCCTGCAGATTTGGGGAGGGGATTTCAACTCCCTCTCTGTGGGGTTGCCAGGGACACAAGTCTCCCCAGGGCAGCCCTCCAGGATTTGCTCTTCTGGGTTTTTCACTCCCTTGTGTCTTGTGGTGTAGGGTGGGAGTGTGTGACAGCTCTCCTTTGGTACCACGTCCGAGGTGCTGTGGTTTCACTCTCCCCTGCCCACTCCTTTGCAAATTATTCCTTCACTGAACTCTCTGAAATAGGCCATGTGAACATGCTCTTCTCTTCCTGCTGGTCCATAAACTGCCTGCATACACATTCATCAGCAGTGATTTCTTAACCAGCTGGTTAGTCCAAGAGAAAGTCTGGTCCTTCTAGGGCTGAAGAGCTGACATTAGGAAGTGGAGAGTGGCAGACATATTGGATTCTTTTGAACTACTAGCCCACCTCCTTTGTGCTGAGAACCCAATTTTGTTTAAGCATGTCCAGCACAGGCGAGATGGTCAGTCCAAGCAAATCAAAGCAACCTCCATTCCCATCACCTGTGACTGCTCTGAAGGGGAAGGTGTCTAGGAAGGCTTTGCAATTTCCCCCCATCGCCCTGAAGGCTGTTTTGCTTCATGCTTTTGTTACTGGCTGGGGTGTGTGTGTGTGTGTGTGTGTGTGTGCTGCTGAGTGCATGGCAGACATGTTGCAGTTGTGAAGACCTAAGCTGGAGGGTGAAACTCAGGCTCATAGGGAGCAACAGAGCAGAAACAATCAAGAGTAACAAATGTCCCTATAGCGGGCACCCCCATAAGCCAGGTGTTTGCTACTTGGAGTTGAAAGCTTAACTATAATACAGAGTGGGAGAAGGGGTAATTTTCTCAAGGAACAGAGTCTCAAGTTGGTCTCCTGGGTGTCCAGGGTCCTGGATGCCAAACTTTGCCTCAGGGCTCTTAGGTGACTGTGACCAAGCAAGGCAGGAACCAGGAGAATGGGTCTCCCGTCTTTCAGGGGTGGCCTGTTGGCCTGGCAGAGATGCAGTCCTACTACTAGCCCTGGACCACCTGGGCAGAAAGAGGGAGCTTTGAAAAATAAATAAGACTGGCATCTCCCCAAACACAAATATCAGGGACTTTATTTAGGGGGGAAAATTGTGTGTTGGTTTCTTGGATTTATATGTCATGAAGCAATAAGGCCTTGCCTGGTGCGATCTCATTCTCCTCTCACTGCCTGTCCCCTAGCTCACTCTATTCCAGCTGTCCTGGCTTTGTTGCCATTCCTTACATGTACCTTTGATCTTCCCATGGGGCCTTTGCACTGGCTGTTCTGCCTGGATAGTTTCCTGAGATGTCCAGATGGCCTGTGCCCTCTACTGAGCCTCCGTTCAAATGTCACCTCAGAAAGGCCTTCCCTGACACTTCAACCAGCATAGTGAATTCCCTCAGCTTATCTAGTTATACAGTTATTGTTTTAATTCTTGTGTTTTGCTCTCTAGAAGGTGAATACCACAAGGACAGATGTTTTGTTTCTCCTGTTCCTCACTCTACCCCTGTAGAACAATGACAGGCACCTGGGCACCAGCCAGCAGGATTTTTTTTTTTTAACAACTGCCTGATTGGTTCTGATGTATACTAATATTTATGGAGGCAGCTGTAGGCCATGTCCTCATGTTGAAGGGTCTGGCTCTGCCACCAGGCAAGCCTAAGTTAGAGTTTCAGTTCTATAGGACCCTGGGCAAGGCACTGGATCTCTCTCAGCCTGTTTCTGGTGGGCCATGACCATCAAACAGAGCAGGGAGAAACTCAGGCAAGTGGGAATTCAGGCTGTAGCAGTCTGCATGGTAGGACTGTGCTTTAGGAGAGGGCCCCACCCCTGCTGGCTTCCTTTTTATACACTTGGGACAGTGGGGGCTTTTGTGGCAAGAGTGGCCCTCTCAGCAGATACGCACATAGCTAGATGCCTGCTGCCTAGGGAAGCTGGTACTAGTACTGGGAGCTCATGGGTTGTTGTAGCTGGATACAGTCCTCCTGCTGGGGAAATAATGACTGTCCCAGCTGCTCGGTGGCCTGGGAATGCTGCCCAGATTGTCCAATGGATAAATCTGTTTGTCTCTCCTCAATTTCCCCTGCTGCAGATGGGAACAA